TCAAACTATAATTCCAGTTGAACAATTGTAATCACTATTACAATTAAAATCAATATTTTGCACTGGTGAAATGACCAAATTATTTAGTATATTTTTTAGTGCACTGTATATAAAGTTAATTTAATAGACAATAGCTAGATATAAAATTAACTAAAGACAAGATTAATTTATTTCTATGATTACAAGTGTAAAGGTAGAATTTGACCACTAAGAAAACAAATAAGAATGAATTTAAATGATTACCAAGCTTTAAAAACTAGTAATACAACTGAAAATTCAATTACATGAAATTAGACTAATACAATTAATAAGAACTTACAATCTTATAAATGAGTTAAACAGCAACATGCATCAAGTTAAATATATAATGAATTAAATATGCTTAAAATTATAACTTAAATACATAACATGCTTTAGATTTGTGCTATTTACAACTTAATTTTAAATATACTTGTTTCAAAAATAATGACTTTTATAAATCAAGTAAGTAATGCTTATTTGATTTCTAAAAGTGCAAGATATTTCCTAAACTACATGGTAAAGGACCAATAGGAATAATTTATCAATAAAGTTTGTCATGTAAGGAACAAAAGGTGATATTGACAACTAATATTCAATTTTGTGAGTTATAGTGTGATTTTTAACATTAAGAAACCAGTTAGTTTCTGAAAAGACAAATGTAAGTGTAGACAAGAAATATAAAAATATTGAATATTAGCGACTGATCAACAATGAATTTTAATAATTATAATTCATTTTACATGACATTTTGTAAATGAGTAAAAGAATTATGAGATTCAACTGGATAAAGTTACACCACCCACAACAAAAGACTATTAGAACTCTAGTAATTGATTTCAATAATGATTGTAAGATTCTGACTTTGACTATTAAATGTACTACTAAACAATATTTGTTCAATATGACAATAACAAAATTTGTAATAATTAACTTATATCACCAATAGACCATTATTTACTATGAAATTTGAAATCAACCACAAAGTTTCTAAAACTTAAAACTAAAACATCGTTAATTTTAATGATTTACTTTAACTAAAAAAAACAAACAAATTGTTGCTTGAAGTGCTTGAGGATATATCCATGTTTACAGTTGAGTTCTGACGTTTCAGACTCATTGCAGAGTCCATCTTCAGAGTGATGGTTGCTAGTCGGTGGCTGCAACTATACTGGTTGGGTTTAAGCCAAGGTCTAAGCCAGTATAGTTGCAGCCACCGACTAGCAACTATCACTCTGAAGATGGACTCTGCAATGAGTCCGAAACGTCAGAACTCAACTGTAAACATGGATATATCCTCAAGCACTTCAAGCAACAAGACAATCCATGAAAGTTTTAACACATTCAAAACAAATTGTTGTTAAAAAAATCTACTCAATTGAGTGTATGAGCTGAGAAAATAATTAATAGTAAAAAAAAAAAACCATAAAGTAAAATAATATTAATATCAATAAGAAATTTCTTCTCGTGAGGGGAGACTACAGTGATGGGATCCTTGATCTTTATTGAAGTTATTGAATCTAAATGAGATAAAAATCAAATGATTTGAAAATTATTTTCTAACTCAAATAGAGTTAAGAAAAAATGCAACAATTTCATAGCCACAGGCAGGTTTGAACCTCGTAACCTAAGCACGTAATACATTGCATTCGTTGACCAAAAAAAATGGCAATTTAAGATACTTCAAATTTTAAAGTTATTTTACTAAGTTTAACTTTCTATTCTATGTCAATTATATTTGTGAAAATCTATGTACTTCCTTTGTAAGGTATTTTGAAATAAAATAAAATACAAAATCCAGAATTTTAGCACAAATATAGCATATTTTTGATTACGGTGACTATTTTTATCATGAAGTCAAATTTTTTTTTTTCAAATTAAATTATATTACATAAGCTTTAATTTAAGATATATATATAATAGTGTCAGTATTTTCGGAACATTTTCAAAAATTAAGTTGAAAAAGTTGCCATTTTGAAACCCCTTCTGTGGGCAGGTAAAGAGTAAAAAGTGCACAAAAGTATATCAAATGATAGGTAAATACCTAAAATAACTATATAAAAAAAATTGTAATGATTTGTTCATTTTAAAAAACCCAGCACGGGTGGGTGGCGGCACAGTGGGGTCGTGGCATAGTTGGGTCCAGTATAGATGATATCTGACAGTGATTAAAATCACTATCATAAAAAACACTTCGATGCAAATCTGTAGATAATGTTTAATTAAAAAAAAAAAATTGTCAAAAGAGTAGGTCAAGTGAAAGCTGAGAAAATAAATGATAGCTACAAAAAAAAAACCACAGTAAAATAATATTGATATGAATTTCTTCTCACGAAAGGAGACCCCTACAGTGGGATCCTTGATATTTATTGAAGTTATTGAATCTAAATGTGATAAAAATCAAATGAGTTAATGATTTTTTTCTAACTCAAAAAGAATTAAGAAAAAATTCAGTGTCACAGTATTACCGTCTCAGAAATTGTACCTCGCATTCGTCACTTAATAAAAATGGAAATTTAGCTAGTTCAAATTTTAAAGTTATTTTTCTCGACTTCAAACAAACAAAATAATTTAAATATGTTTAACTTATTATACTATGTCAATTAGATTGATATAATATTTATGAAAATCAGTGTAATCCCCTTATAATAAAATAAAATACAAAACCAAGAATTTTAACACAAAAATAGCATATTTTTGAATACGGTAGCTATTTTCACCATGAAAACAAAATAAAGTCAGAAATTTTTTTTTTTAATATTAAATTTTATACATAAGCTTTAATTTAAGATATACAGGGTGATTTTTTTATCATAACCCACTCAATTACTTATAGAATAATAATAATTTAAAAATTTTTTTTTATTATTATCATTAGTTACACATTATTCTTGAATTATTAACTATGTAATACTTTTTAAGTTCATCCCTTATGCCTGGTAAGGGTGTCAACTTTGTTTTTTTAAATGGTAACACATATTTTTAATTTAATAAAATGTTTGAGTTTTTAATTCAATAATAAATGGCATTTGAATTTTTAATAAAACTTAATTTGTTTATTAGATATAAACATTTAAAGTTTCAATTTTTTGAGTTAATATATAGGTATAATACACAAGGGATTACAAATACAGGTAGCTAATTGGTTTTTTATAATATTGCTATCACAGTCACGGCTTGTTTATTATCAATTATGACTATCAATAGATATACTTTTTGTATTGTCAGTTAGTGTATTTATAAACTCACAGCAATATACCTTACTATCATTGATAATAACAATGTTGTGTACCTGCTAATATCGATGTCATAAAAAATCAATTATCTACCTGTTTTTGTAATCCCTTGTATATTATACCTATATATTAACTGAAAAATTTGAAACTTTAAATGTTTATATCTAATAAACAAATAAAGTTATACTAAAAATTCAAATGCCATTTACTATTAAATTAAAAACTCAAACATTTTATTAAATTCAAAATATGTGTTCCCATTTAAAAAAACAAAGTTGACACCCTTACAAGGCATAAGGGATGAACTTAAAAAGTATTACATAGTTAATAATTCAAGAATAATGTGTATCTAAAGATAGTAATAAAAAAAAAAATTTTTTAATTATTATTATTCTGTAAGTAATTGAGTGGGTTATGATAAAAAAATCACCCTTTATATAAAAGTATCAGACTTTCCGGAACATTTTCAAAAATTAAGTTGAAAAAGTAAATATTTTGTGAAAAAGTTGTCATTTTGAATCCCTCCCTGTGGGCTGGTAAAAGGTTAGGTTTTATAACAATAATATAATATTGATTTGGTTATTTTTAAAAAATATATGGCAGTTTTAAGTAAAAAAAATTGAAATAATGTCCAAAATTGGCGATTTTTAAATTTGTATATGTGGAATGAGGGAAATTTTTTCAATTTTTGAGGGTAATGTCTTCAAATAAATACGATTTGTGATCATTTGACGTATCGATGAATGAAATCGGTCCAGAGAGAGCTGAGAAAAAATGGTAATAGACAGAAAAAAAAAAATCATAGTAAATCCAATACCTTCACAGCTTCGCATCGAAGCTAAAACATTATTATTTAATGAACAAATTAACTGAAACTAAAATATTTGCCAAAACAAAAATTCATTTTAAAATTCCTAAATAGTTTTCATTTAGTTTCTTTAAAGAAAAATATTCTATTAATGTAAGTCCATATTAATTTAAAAAAATGTCTAAGTCATAAAGAGTAAAATCTGGAGTTTAACATCCCAGATTTTGTGTGTTTTTAAATTTGTCGAAAGAACTGGTTTTTACGAGAAAAAATGGCTTTTTATACTCAGAAAGGGATAGTCTAATGATCTCTAGTGTGATCTTAGTAGCTGAGGCTTTTTATTCTAATTTCTTAATTATAATGGGATATACCAATGGTATTAACCAACCTAACGGTTGTAAAAAAAAATCACTTTAATGTAATTAAACTAATTAAAAACGTAATTAATTACAAATAACTTAATATAAGAGAGACAAAAGAAATGATTAAAAATAAGAATAATTTAATTAATTAAAATCTAGGCTAACAGAAAAATTCATTACTAAACATATGTAAACATGGAATAATGCCATTAGGTAATAAGGTCAGTTGGGGTATATAAGGGTTTTTTCGGCTAAGGTGGATAGTATGTGTTTAAAAATGATCGTATATCTACCGAAATAAGTATTAGTAATTTTTTTAGTAAATTTTGTGGCTTTTTGAATTTTAAATATTTTTAAAGTTTTTGTTATTATTTTAATTATAAATAATATTAGCTACAAGTGATCAATTTTTATTATACTATCTACAGATTTGTATTGAAGTGTTTCTTATAATAGTGATTCTTATCATTGTTAGATATTTATATATGTCCCAACTATGCCTCGTCCCCGCTGTGCCGTGACCAAATTGAGTTAAGTTTTTATATATGAAAAATTAAAAATTGAATTTTTTTCTAGCAAGGGTTCGTTATGGAGTCTGCGTGAATTTCTATCGACGAATTGATCAATATTACCTACGTTTTAATGAAAGCAATAGAAGAACTATAAACGAATATACAGATAGAAAATTGTCTGCAAATGATTACTCTTCATTATTTTTAAAATGGTAATAAATACTTTTTAATTTGTTTACACTCATTTTACCAATGTTAATACGACGATATAGTTAATTTCAATAGTGTAATTTTTGATAACATTAATTGGATACAATTTTAATTTAAGTTCGTTTTTACTTTTTTTATAAAAAAATATTCAGAATATTAAAATAAAATTAGACATATTACCATAAAAAAAAAACTGCAAGCATAAAATAGTTTTTATAAACATCATCCATAGAAAAATTACTACGTTTTTAATTTTAGTCATTTAGTATATATTTTATTTGATTTTAGTAAAATAAGTTACCTTTTACTATACCAAAATAATATAAGCAACAAAAGTTCACACACTCATGAGAACACTAGTGTTATTATTTACTAAATATTCATCTTAGTATTATTTATTTCCATATTAAAATTAGAGGCTATTTTCCAAAAACTAATAGGTAAATTTTAACAACTTCTTAGAAGAATCAAAATAAATTTAAAATCTAAATGTTTTGTAATAAATCGACATTTTTTATATGCAAAAACAAACCTTACCAAAAAATGAAAGTCATAGGAATAAATATATTTTATCACATTTGCCGAACTGCCTAAACCGATAGGTTATAGATTTTGCTGGAAATTTAATATGCCAATTGATAAGGTTCATAATTTTAAAACAAAAAAATGATATTTATCTAGGTAGCTTCTATCTATCTTTCAAAAAGTTATAGCAATTTAAAGAAAAAATTAATATTAAATATTATATCAAATCAGTATTAATTTAAAACAATTTTTTTTGTTCTTAATTATTTTTTTTTATTTAGATGCATGTCTTTATCTATCATTTGGTTTTTTTTTNTGAATATGAGAAAAAAAATAAATATATAGTTATAAGGTTCCTTCTATAATTGAAGAATACTTATACTAAGTAAACTAGGTACAATATTGATCATTTGATCAATTTCACATCCATATTTCAATGAATTTTCAAAATAAGGAAACAGAAATAAATAAATTTGGTTATTCAGGTTATTTTTATAGTTTTTAGTGTGAAATATTTTAAACATAAATTTTAAGTTAAAATATTTTAAAATATGAAGTTTTACTTTAATTGAAATATTGAAGAATAATTATTTATTTAATTTGTGTAAAGCAAATGATTTATTAAATACTTCCTACACCAAGGTATATTTGTTTCTAAAAAATTGTAATCGTTTTATTAAATTTTTATTAACTAAAATAGGTAACATAATAACTTCTAATAGTAAAAGTAAGGAAAAAGTTCAACATTTTGGTATAATCATCATTAATTCGCATTAATATTGTAGAAAATTAACTATAAAAAATTATCATATTTTAGCTTTGATGCGAAGCTGAGAAGGTATTAATTTTACTATGATATTTTTTTTTTGTATATATAATATATAATATATTTCGAAAAAAAAATTTGTGTTGATCCATAAATTTTTCAAAAAGTTATAGCAAGTTATACAAGTTGAATATATAAAATCGAAAATTTTAACTAAAAAATAGCATATTTAACTAACTAGGGCAGTTATTTGCACATTAAACATAAATCATCGGGATACATTTTTTTAACTTGTAGTATATAAAATAAAATAAAATTTAATATATGTTTGAAGGACACAGTTTTATCGAAACAATTTAAAAGTTAAATTGAAAAAAAATTCTTATTTGAATACTACCCTCTTGTGGGTTAGTAAATAGTCAGGTTTTCAAAAAATTTATATCATATTAAAAAGGAATACCTAAAGTTTTTGTATATCAAACTATAATGTTGATTTGTTCATTTTTGAATAAGTTATGATAGTTTTGAAGAAAAAAATGTCTAAATTGCCCGATTTTAATAATCGCAATTTTTTTGAAGATTTTCCACATTTACAGGGAAATTTTTTCAATTTTTTAAGGCAATGTCTTCATCTAAATACTATTTGTAATCTTTTGGCGTATCTTTGAAAGATATACGAATGGGTACAAGTGAGATTTTGAAAATTAATTGGTTTAATTTATTTTTTATATATAAAATCCAATTTTTTTCGGTTAGAATTTAGTTTTGGACACATTATTTTAGCTTCCATGCGAAGCTAAGAAGGTATTGGTTTTACTAAGATGTGTTTTTTTTTTTCTGTCTGTTACCACTTTTTCTCAGCTCTCACCGAACCGATTTCTTTCAATTATACGTCAAAAGATCACAAATCTAGTCGAAGATATTACCCTCAAAAATTGATAAAAATTCCCTTGTTCCTCGTAAATGGGGGAAACCTCCAAAAAAATTACAAATTTAAAAATCGCTTATTTTCGAAATTTCGAAATTTTTTTTACTTAAAACTGTCATAACTTTTTCAAAATTGAACAAATCAATATAATTTTTTTTATATAGATAATGTCTTTACATACCATTTTATGTATTTTTTTTATGAATTTGACCCTTTACCTGCCCACAGGGGGAATTCAAAATGACAACTTTTTCACAAAAATTAACTTTTTCAACATAACTTTTGAAAGTGTTCCGGAAATACTGACACTTTTATACTTATCTCAAATTAAATTAATACCTTACGTATATCCCTTATTTAACTTAGTTGTTGCTACTTATAATGAAAAATAAGAGAGATTGCAATTTCAAAAACATTTTTTGAATTATAAGACTTCTGAAACTATTTTATTGACTTATCCTAATGATATTATCAAGTCAAAAATTTAACTATAGGGATTTACAAATATATTTTTTTCTATTTGTATAACTATTTAGATCGTTTCCTACTACATTATAGTTGTAATGTTAAATAAATAAATGTAATTCATAATTTTACTTGCAGTAATTCAACTAGTTCTTCCCTTTCTCAGTCACCTGATGATCCACCAGCTCAATTCAATGATTTGGAAACAACTGTAAGTAATAAAGACATTAAAAACTATAAGTTTTCACAACAGAAAACATCATTTACAGTTTTTAATTTTTAATTCGTATGATAATAAAGTTGTTTGATATTTTGGTAATTTACCTACGATATGTATTTTACTTCGATGGAAAGCCGACAACGTATTATTTGTAATATAATATATTTTATTTGTTTATTAACATTTTTTTTTGTCTATCGCTACTTATAGTTATCTACTATTGGATCAATAATGCAAATTATCGTTATTTTATGCTTTTAATTAGACCAACTATTTTAAAAAATAAGCTTCTCTCTTTTCTCGGGGTTTATCTACACTATACTCCTTTAAATTTATTTTTAAATAAGTCATTCAAAATAACTAATTTTAAATAAATATTATTTATTCAATTATTCTTACTCCCTGATAATTAAAAAACGAAGGTGAATGTAGAGTACGAGACTCCGATTATAATTTAGTCTTATACATTACTAACATTGGTAGTATTTAGTAATACTATAGTATTTTGTGATAGTGTTATTAATCATTTTAAAACTTTTAACTTTACTAATTACCACTGAGCCGAAATTTCACTATTCCAAATTTTTCTTCCCCAAGATATTTTATACTTATGATACTTATAATATTTTAAAAATATATTGTATAAAAAATTGAATTTTTATTGTAAAATTATTGCTTAATTATTTTTAATTAAATATTTTTAATATGCTTTGTTGTAGAAACCAAAAGATGATTTATTCTCATTAACTTCACTATGCCTTTTATCTCATCATCCGTTTTTTTCAAGTTTTAGAGAATGTTTGTTTTATTTAAAAAACATTATCGACTCTTGCAATAAGAAATTATGCCTTCGTAAGAAAATAAAATATAATAGGTAAATACATTTATATAATAAAAATTGATCACTTGTGGCTAATTAATTAAGTAAAATTAAAACTATATTAAAAATATTAAACTCAAAGCCACAAAAAAATTAATGAAAAGTCGCGGATACGTATTTTGGATCAATGTTACCATTATCAACGCTGGTCAGTATGTGTTTAGCGTTGATAATGGTAACATTGATCCGAAATACGTATCCGCGACTTTTCATTAATTTTTTGTGGCTTTGAGTTTCATATTTTTAATATTTTTTAGTTTTTTAAATTAATAATATTTTTAATATAGTTTTAATTTTACTTAAATACATTTAGATTAATGATAATTAATATTT